TAGGCCAATCACTGTCCCCCAAACATCCTCCATTATATTTTTTATATTTCTATTTTTTAAAAACAAAGCGGCGTGTATGACATCATCCGCGCACGCCGGCTACCGTTCATTCATCCTGTCCGCTGAACTGCTGCTAGTTTTCCTCACATGCCTGGAAGATGTCTAGAGCTGCTACCACAGATGATCTCACTCTGCAAATGGAATTGAACCATTCAGATTAGCTAGAATAAATAGAAGGGGTAGAGCGTAGCCGCCTGGTGTAATGTACATTGTTTAAATAAAGTGTTTTTTTTGTTTGTTTGGTTTTTTTTTAAACAAAAAAAAAAAACTCCCGTCCGGCGTGCGGATGACATCATACAAACTCCACTTTGTTTTTAAAAGATAAAACATATAACCGTGGATGTCCGGGAAAGTGACTGGCCGACATGTTATGAATGCTGGTGTACCATAAATGAACAGTTTAGTTTGTGCCTTCAAGTCGTTGCCCATAGGAAGACGTTACTTGGATATAACCTAACGGAATATCTTCAGAACAGCTCCAAATCACACTAAACTCATATGGGTGAGTAGAACATGATGGAATAACGTAAAATCAAGGGTCCAATGTAAAAAAACAAAAAACAAAATTCCCCTTTAATTACACCAACTAGGTGTTAGAATTGGAAAATTAACACTCATGTTTTTCTAACTACATAGGAATTATTCTCTAAAGACTAAAAATTTTACTTTTCTGAACATATAAAAATCCCTTTGGAAAAATAAATAAAGAAGCAATGTTTTTTTCAATAAATATTTATTTCAAAAGTGCATCACAATTGGAAAAAATATTTTTCCAAAACTTTGCTTTGTAACAAAATTCTGAAGAGAAGTAAATTTAAACTAAAAGATATTTTCATGCACTGCAGAGGAGGTTCATTTCTCCAATTAAACCGCCGTTTGTGTTTAGGTGTGTCGATGTTGATGAGTTTAGCCACAAATTACATAAAATATTCTTCTACAAACCCTTTTTTCAACATTATAGTTACAAAGATTACAAGTTAGCTAAACATGATTAAACTTTCACCAAAGCAATGTGGCTAATGTCTCTCACACGGCTCTATCTTGACTCAAGAAACTCCATAGAGTTAGAAAAAAAAATAAAAAATGTAAAGCATCTGAGAGAAATTATTTACCAGTCTGGGTAAACTGGTCTGTATGAGAGCAAAATGGAGAGTAATGTTTTCCTCAGCTTTGTTTGGTACCTATAACATTGGAGGCAGAGTCAGTGAATGTTCTCTTTGGGTGTCAAATCCACTATAGGAGTTCAGAGTTGATAGACAAAGAGTTATTTTCTTCCATTTTAACACCTCCAGATTTATTATGTTACACTTTTTTTTTTTTTTTTTACACGTAATTTTAACTATTAACATGTGACAACTCAGTTATATTTGTATAATATAACTCTATTAAGAGCTAAATTAACACTGTCTTTGAACAAAGTCTACTAACACCATATTATTTAACATTTTTCAATTTGCTGTGTGGTTCCAGAAAGGGCTGCAGGTTCTTTCCAACCATGCAATAGCACACCAGACTCCATCCATATCAAATTAGTCCAATTTGAACATGATGACTGGAGGCTGTTGTGCTACTGATTGGTTGGAAAGGGAACCTGCAGCCACACAGCCCTTCCCTTTGACACCACTGTCCTGATGTCAGGAAACTTAATCTGCTTGCATGCAAATGACTGTCTAATTAAACATATGTATGAACATCTTAGATGGGGAACTGCATTATATATGCAGGCAGAAATCAAATAAAGAGGAACATCTGGCCAAGGTTGTAACAACAGCTGGGGAGGCAAACGACCTTTTTATTGAATTTCAGGGCTCAATGTTAACCATCGCCCGATCTCCCGGGGCAAATGGTTCTTATTGTGAGAGTACAAATTTGATGATCGCAAAAAAAATTGTATTTATCACACAAAATTACTTTAAAACCACCGACATTCGATGAAAACGACCCAGAAGCGCTGCCGGCGCCATTTTTGTTGTTTTGCACACCTTCTCGCGTGATTTGAAAAACCGCGAGATTTGGAAAAAAAAACGGGTGATTTTCCGCCAGATGGCGTGATTTTTATCCGGGAATTGGCGCGAATCAGACATATTTTTTTCGACTTTGCAGGCTAAAAAACAAGAACAAGGCAAAAAAAAATAATTTGTAAGTAGAGTAAAACACCCGCCACCTATTTTACCCTCCACCCGATTCACTCATCATATGGCAGTCTTCTGTACAGTGATGCAGGTGTACATTAAAAAATGTTCATTAATTTTTTTTTCTTTCAGACATTGGAGAGGTGCATTTAAATGTTATAGAGCTAAACATGTTAGATTGGTGACCTGTTATGTTATTATTGTCTTGTTGATGCGTTTATTTTGTCAGGGAAAACTAATCCTGAGTCAGTTAAAAGTCAGGGAATTCTGAAATGATGTCAGACTGTGGAAACACTGTATAAAATAACTATGTGTAATGATTCTCTAGAAAAGTCACATTATATTAATAGTATTATCTTGTATAAACATACCGTGACTCTAAAATAAAAGTTAATAATTTGTGACATTGAGTTCTACCTTGTTTTTAACCTGTCAAGTTTTATTTTTAACATTACAATTTATATTTTTCCAAGCACACAACAGTTTAAAGCAAAGTTTAGTTTGAAAAGAATGTGCAGGAAGGATTGAAAAGCATGTTAACACCGTAATGTAGGCTTGAGTTCATTATCTGACGCATGCAGATACACACCAGGAACCTGGAAACTTAAAAATACTGAATTACAAAAAACATTTAAAAAAAAAAACATGTTTCATTGATATATATGCAAAAATAAATATTAGGAACTATATTTATCAAACATTATACTGGGCAAGTAAAAATTGTTTCTGGGCAAATGAAATTTGAAAAATCCTTAACGTCAACCCCTGAATTTCATGCCAGCGAATTAGTTGGACACTGTGGGTGGGAAAGAACCCATTGTGCCGTCGCCAGCCTGGTATTTCAATTCAATTCAGTTTATTTATATAGCGCCAAATTCACAACACATGTCATCTCAAGGCACTTTACAGTTCAACCAGATCATACAGTCAAATTGATAAAAAGTTTTCTATCTAAGGAAAACCAGTTGATTGCATTGACTCATTGACTCAAATACAATCCCCCACACTAAGCATGCTTGTAGCGACAGTGGAGAGGAAAAACTCCCTTTTAACAGGAAGAAACCTCCAGCAGAACCAGGCTCAGTGTGAGCGGCCATCTGCCGAGGCCGACTGGGGTTCAAGGAGACAGAAACAGAGATACAAAAAGCAGCTGTAAAAGGCGGCCCCGTCCAGGAAACACACAGCCAGGCAGACGAGCTCCAAGGCAGCTCCCATGCCAGAGGACGAAGAGAGCACATCCACTCAGTCACGGCCAGAGAAACAGGACCACACTGGAAAACAGGCCGATCTCCAACATCTATAAACAAGGGTGTTGATGGAAGCAGCACAGCTGATGTTTCTTTCCAGGATGACGTCACAGCCAAACAGGAACAGACGAGGCAAAGCTACTCTGAGGAAAAGCAGAGAGAGCAGAAGGTTAGAGATTGAACTAACAGATTCTGCAGAATAGGAGAACAGAGAGAGAATGAAGCAGAATGATGAAATGGGGGTCCCTATGTCCTCCAAAAGTCTAAGCCTATAGCAGCATAACTATAGAGATAGCTCAGGATAACCTGAGCCACCCTAACTATAAGCTTTATCAAAAAGGAAAGTTTTAAGCCTAGCCTTAAAAGTAGACAGGGTGTCAGCCTCACGGACTAAAACTGGTAGTTGGTTCCACAGGAGAGGAGCCTGATAACTAAAAGATCTGCCTCCCATTCTACTTTTAGAAATTCTAGGAACCACTAGTAAACCTGCAGATTGAGAGCGAAGTGCTCTGTTAGGAACATAAGGAACAATCAGATCTCTGATATCAGATGGAGCTTGGCCATTTAAGGCTTTATATGTGAGAAGGAGGATTTTAAATTCTATTCTTGATTTAACAGGAAGCCAATGAAGAGAAGCCAGGATAGGCGAGATATGATCTCTCTTTTTAATTTTCATTAGAACTCTGGCTGCAGCATTTTGGATCAGCTGAAGGCCTTTAACTACAGTTTGTGGACTTCCTGATAGTAAAGAATTACAATAGTCCAGCCTTGAAGTAACAAATGCATGGACTAGTTTCTCAGCATCACCCCTGGACAGGATATTTCTAATTTTTGCAATGTTCCTCAGATGAAAGAAGGAAATTCTAGAAACCTCTTTGATATGGGATTTAAATGACAGGTCCTGATCAAAAATAACACCAAGATTTTTTACTTTATTATCTGAAATCAGTTTAATCCCATCCAAATGAAGTGACTGGCTAATCAGTTTCTTTTTCAGAGACTCTGGTCCAAAGACTATAACTTCTGTTTTATCTGCATTCAGAAGCAGAAAATTAAGAGTCATCCAGGTTTTTATGTCTTCAAGACATGCCTGTAATCTATGTAATGGGTTAGCTTCATCTGGATTTATAGACAGATATAGCTGGGTATCATCAGCGTAACAGTGGAAATTAATCCCATGCTGTCTAATAATTCTACCAATTGGGAGCATGTATAAAGTAAAGAGAATTGGTCCTAGCACTGATCCCTGTGGTACTCCACAGGTAACCTTTGAGCGTGTTGAAGATCTATCATTAACATGAACAAACTGAATTCGATCAGATAGATAAGATTTAAACCAGTCTAGTGCTGTTCCTTTAATTCCAACAAAATATTCAAGTCTTTCTAAAAGAATATTATGGTCAACTGTATCAAATGCAGCACTAAGATCCAACAGGACGAGCACAGATACAAGTCCATTATCTGAGGCCATGAGAATATCATTAGTGACTTTCACCAGAGCTGTTTCAGTGCTATGATGAGCTGGTATGGAAAAGGACATCCAGCAATGGGTGAGTATTTGGCTAGAAGAAAAGGGCAACCATAATGGAAAGGTCGGAATACCGCCCCATAGAAGTGGGAAGAATTAGAACTGAGGCAGATGTGAAATGTGTGTCCTTAAAGTGAAGAATTTACAAATTTATCTCCTAAACAGGTGACCGAGCCACTGGAACTGGTGGGCATGGATCTAGTGGGTAAACTCACAGTAACAAATGGTGTTAATCAGTACATTTGTTAATCATTGATTATTTCACCATAGGCAGAGGCCTACCCACTAAAAAACAAAATCAGCAGCTGAGGTCACCAGTTGTATACTTGTGGGTTTTTTTTTTTTTTTTTTTATACAAATTTGGTGCACCTCAAACGCTGCTTACAGACCAGGGTACAGAGTTTCTCAAAAAGGTAAGTACTGAGAAATAATTTCACAATAAGTCAACACAGTAGTGCTGACTTCTCATTCTCTTAGGTTAACTATGGTTTGTGTGAGAAATTCAATATAAAAATATGTTTTAGCTCGCCATACCACCTACAAACCAATGGTCTAGTGGAGAACCTGACAATTCAAAGGTTGTTGTTCAAACCTATCAACCAACATCTTGGTAATGTGGAGCATTACCAAAAGTGTGACTAATGGAATTCTAACCCCCCAGGTCCTTAAATTGGTTGCAGACCATCCACATAGATGGGACGAGGTGCTGTAACTAACAATGTTTGCCCTGCGGACCAAACGTCATTTCACAACCAAACATTCCCCATATTATTCGATGATTGCCAGGGAGGCCAGGTATCCATCACAGATACCACCACAATATGAGGTAAGGTGTGCACACATCTTCCCTGTTGGGGCCAATACTATGTCACAACACATTTTCTATACTTGCTTACAGATCACTGATCAGAAGATTGAGAGGCTAATTTCACAGGAGGTTGTGAGCCGAGGCCTTTCTGAGCAGGAAGGAACCTACCAGGAAGTGTCCTCAGATATTCAAGAGTCATGAAAAGGTTAGGCAGAGGAAAAGGCAACGGGCTGAGGAGGAAAACTTTAAGGTGGGTGACAAAGTTCTTCTAAAGAACATCAGGCAGGAGCAAAGGGAGGGTGGGAAAATGAAGGCAGACATGTTGGGTCCCCTCATGATCACTAAAATTGAGGGCAAGAGTGTGGAGCTCATATCGGAGAAGCAAAGCTAAAAATTAATGTAGATCACTTAAAACCTTACAGGTGCTGGTCATAAAATTAGAATATCATGAAAAAGTAGATTGATTTCAGTAATTCCATTTAAAAAGTGAAACTTGTATATTATATTCATACATTACATACAAACTCGTATATTTCAGATGTTTATTTTGTTTAATTTTGATGATTACAAATGACAACAAATGAAAATCTCAAATTCATCATATCAGAAAATTAGAATATTACTGAAGACCAATAAAAACAAAGGATTTATAGAAATGTTGGCCAACTGAAAAGCAGCCTCCCACCCTGCCTTCCCCCTGTGCTTCGGCCTCCCGCCCTGCCTTCCCTGCCCTGTGCTTCGGCCTCCCGCCCTGCCTTCCCTGCCCTGTGCTTTGGCCTCCCGCCCTGCCTTCCCTGCCCTGTGCTGCGGCCTCCCGCCCTGCCTTCCCCCTTTGCTGCGGCCTTCCCCCTGTGCTTCGGCCTCTTGCCCTGGCCTCCCCCTGTGCTTCGACCTCTTGCACTGCGGCCTCCTGCCCTGGCCTCCTGCCCTGGCCTCCCCCTGTGCTTCAGCCTCCCGCCCTGCCTTCCCCTAAAGTTGGTGAGTATTCTAATGTATTCCACTCCAGTTTGTCTAGGTTTTTCAATTTTTTATTTAAATTTTTAATTTTATTTTTTTTGGGGGGGGGTCAGTGAATAAAAGTATTTGGGCAGGTCATCATCCCAGAAAAATCTGGAGTCGGATTGGTCTATATAAATTATTTTCTGACAACATGATGGACCTGGCCTCTAGGAAGAAGTCGGAGAGTGAGGTAGTTATATAATTTTTTTTAATGGCTGTTAATGTAGTTCGTACACCTGTTATGTGGTTATAACTTTTAAATATTTGTATCTTTGCAGGTGATCAATACCTGTTCTTACTGGGCAGGCAGACTGGGGCATTGATTCTTATCTCATGACCTCGGTATGGCAGGGGACTGTAAAAGGTCGGAAGAAGGCAAGTATCATTGCATAAACCAAACAAGCTGGATACAGAGTTTGTTAAAGTTGGGTCTTTCACAGGTGCCTTTGATGACCTAAAATGTGGTGGCAGCGGCTGTTTGTCACAACCACCACTGGACGCTTATTGTGAGTACTAAATAAGTTATTATCAAATGTTGTACCAGATCTGTCTGACCCGGTTTATACTAGACAGGTTTTTTTACCCCATGGAAAAGAGGGTAGTTAATGTTGACCCCTTTGGTGCAACTGAAGCAAAAATCGAAAGGTACCAGGAGATGACCAGGTATGTCATTGAGAGAGGTGACAAATGTACAACAATCACAATACATGCTTATCTGACTGTTTGAATGTCATACTGCAGAGCTTTTGTACGCAAACAATGCCTGGTCATAGGGAGGTGCAAACGCTCCACAGTGCCTCACCCAAGGCAGCAGGATGGTACATCGTGTGGCGTTCTCGTGTGCGCAGTAAGCAGACATTGTACAATGTGGCCCAGCGAGGCCAAAAACTGACTGCAAATCCTCAGATTGCAGAGTTTATATTAAGGGGTCGAGAAGCGGCCTTCCCTGTCCAGGCGGAGGGTGTGTCAAAACTGAGGCTGGACTGGCAACGACTCTGCTGGCAAAGACAGGTGAACTACTGCAGCCACTGTGTGCTTATAATGTATCCATATTATCCTTGCCCTAATACTTATCTTTGCAGATGACCTTTCGGGATCGTGTCGGGCATGTGGGGAGTTCAGCTTACAGGTGACTGGGTAAGTCGGTGTGTTGAACATGACTGCTTATTTTGAAGCCTCAGGTACACCTTTTAGCTAATGTAATGCTTCACCTAAACCCATAATTTGTTTCCTAACCGCAGTCTAGTTATCTTGTGTCTTCAGATTGAATCCAATAGCTGTTCTGGGTGGAATCACTGCGCCTGTGTAGGATATCCATCCACAGTGGGAGACTATCACTGCCAGGCCTGTGAGGAATAAACCATCAGCAAATTTGCAAAGGTCTGTTTTGTCTTTTATTTTTTAAGGTGGAGAGGTTGACAGCCAGTGTAAGATGATGACTTAATGCAATTTTTGAATTTCCCTATAGTTTTCTTTCCGATGGAACCGCTCCACTGAGGACTCCATCTCTTCTGCTCTTCACCTGAGCCTGGCACACCTGGAGGAGAACACCCACGTTTTGATGCTGATTCTGGACTTCAGCTCAGCTTTCAAAACCATCATTCCACAGCGTCTGATAGGATAACTGGAAAAGCTGGGCTTCAATACACCCCTCTGCAATTGGCTGCTAGACTTCCTCACAGACTGCCCTCAGTCAGTCCGGGTCGGACAGAACACCTGCGATGTCATCAGTCTAAGCGCAGGCTCCCCTCAGGGCTGCGTCCTGAGCCCCCTGCTGTTCACCCTGATGACACATGACTGCGTCCCCAGGTTCACCACCAATCACATGGTGAAGTTTGCACCATATTTTTGTGCACTTTACTGAATCTTTCCATATATGCCTTCTGAACCATACATTTAAACTGTTAAAATTGTGATCACTGCTGCCCTTTAGATATGATGTTCATTTCACTGTAAGCTGCTCTTTCAATTAAAAAGGCTGTATGCATCCAAATTTTTTGACAAAAAATAAAGTTTGTCTAAATTAAACTGAGTGAATTTCAGTTGTCTGTGTCCTGTAAATCGATCTGACCCTCAAATGAAGAAAAGAAGCCTGTTTCAAAACATGATTTAAACTCTGTCCAGCTAGAGTTCAAAGAGTACCAGACAGTAACTTAAAGGTACACTATGCAACCGGTGTTGATTTTCCAGCGAGGCTCCCCCCAGAGGGCGAAAGTAAAAGTGCACTGTCGTAAATATGCTCAGCTGTTCTCCTGGTTTCTCCGTCAAGCCAGGCGCGGTTGTTTTGAGCTTAGCAGACAGGCGAACGCAACGAATGACTGATGCTGCGTTCACACCGCAGCTGGTGCAACAGAAGCGGCGAGTTTACATGCAAAGTCAATGGTTGACGCGCGTCAAGGCACAGCAAAAGGTCCCGCGGCGCGTTTTGAGCAGCAGGCGCAGCACGTCGGGTGCGTTTAAGCATCTGACGCAGGGAGAGAGACACAGCGCTGATGATCACTCCTCTTAAACAGTTTATTGACGCCTAAATTAACTTAAAATGCAGAAATCTGCCGGCAGAATATGCAGTTTGGATTATTTAGATGAAAAACACCTACCAGCTGCCGCGGTGAACCGCGAGGAGGCGACCCGGCCAGAGGCTGCTGATGAAGGGATCCCTACTGTCGGCGCACTGCTGGTATGTGGGGGTCTGAGCGGCACCGACAGAAAAAATATTGAAGGCAGGATAATAATCTGAATGAACTGACTGCACTGATTATGTTTTCAGGTGTATTTTCTCATTTAAACACATATTAAAACTACTTTATTCCCACTGATCACAGCAAATATAGCTGCAAGGCAGAGAAAGGATAGTGAAGCTCCGCCCAACGCGCGTCAGACACACTTTTGCCTTAAAACTATTGGGCTTCTCATCCTTCCTTACAAATATTCCCACTTTATATTCTATTCTCAAATTATGACTGTTTTGAAAAGAACATCTTATTGGAATCTTAGTGTTCAGTCTGTATGCAATTTTAAGGTATGACACCATAATGGGCTCTCTACTGGTTTCATCGCCCCATTTGTACAAAGGGGTAAAATAGGCCCATTTCAGCAGATCCAATCTGATTTTTGTGGCCTACCTGCTGATGCACAAACGTTACTTATGCATTCACAGTATTTAAATCCCAGAGTTAGCAGCTACGACTACAGTGTGGGTATTACACGTCATGCTTAATACTATATATATATCATATAGAATGGAGATAAATCAGGAAACGGTAAACTAGATTAACTTGTGACAATCGGGGTTCACAACACAGCTGTTTGGAGGGATTAGTTGGCTGTGTGGTTACCCGAACAAAATGTTACAAAATTCAACTGGTCAGAATAAATGTTATTTCTGGCATAAGATATATCCAATGTCTGTGGAGACTGTGAGATATGGTAAGTTGAAGTTTAATGATCAAATAAACGCATGAGTCACAGCATATGGAAGCATTGGAGTCTGCAGAGTCTTCACAGATTAAGCTGTGATCCAGCGGGATCTAGAGGAATATAGGCTGTTAAATATTCCATCACCTGGGATGTTTAGATGTTATCATGATGCTTATCGTCAATTAGGGTTGTAGCAGGTTACTTTAAATTTGTAATTGTTGTTGATTATTTTTCATGCCGCAATTATGAACCCATCATGATGTGTAACTATGTTCATGCTGTCAGCTTATTCCCTTCTATTGTTTTGAGGATGCCACAGTTTTTTCTTTTACATGAAGAACAACTTTAAATCAATCGAATCGAATCAATATGGAAAATCTGAATCGATACCCAGCCCTAGTGATGATGGTCATCGGCAGTACAAGGCCAGATTTGTGGTGAAGGGGTATAGCTAGAGAGCGGGAATAGATTATAGTGAGACAGTCTCCCCCACAGCCAATATAACAAGTGTGCGTGTAGTCATGCAAAAGGCAGCCCTAGACCAGTTGATGCTACACCAAATGGACGTAAAGACAACATACCTACACGCGCCAATAGACCGAGACATTTACATGTGTAAATTACAAAGGTCAATGTATGGTCGGGTCACAATTGGAACGAAATGCTGCACAAGTGTATGATAAGTGACAACTTCACACAGAACCCAGCGGACCGTTGTTTGTACACAAAAGAGTCAAAGCAGAAAGGGAAGGTGATCATAGTCATTTGGGTGGATGATCTGATAATCGCAACGAACAACACGAGAAGTCTAGAGCAAGTGAAATCAATGCTCTCCAACATGTTTAAGATGAAGGACCTAGGCAGGCTGAAACACTTTCTAGGCATAGACATCAGTCAGACTGATGAGTGTGTAATAATGTCAGAGCAGAGGTATGCTGAAAAGATCCTCACCTGATTTGATGTGCAGGAGTGCAGAACACACGAGACCCCATGTGAACAAAAGGTCGACTACACTGATGATGCGCCTAAGATGGCAGCTGTGAGGAGATGCAGGGAAGCTGTAGGTAGTCTTATCTACTTAGCTGCATGTATGAGACCTGATCTTTGTTTTGTGGTAAGCAAGCTTTCACAACATTTTGCAAACCCCACAGAGGAAAACTGGGTGATAGTGAAACATGACTGATCGCTTAAATTCATGTTCATGTTTAATCATATGAGATATTACTATTTTTCCTTGTTTACTCTTAGAACAGAGTGGGGTCACCTCGTTAGGAAATAATCAGACAGTAGGTTCTGCAGCGTAGCTATTAAAAGATAAAATAACCACATCTTTTTTTTCTATCAGATATCTACCATAAAATCTCCCTATTTTATTCCTTGATTGTTTCGCAGCAGTCAGCCTGGAGGCTCTGCTGCTTCTTTTAATGCTTTAGCACAGCAGGTTCTGCATTTGTTCGCCCCGATGCCCAAAATATCACATATATTCACACAATATATACCGTAAACTGAATTCCGGTTCAAGATTTCTCTCTTCCCTTTAGCATTTTTGTTATTTTGCTTTGTTCCTGCGACACACTTTTAACTTTGAAGACATTTCTAACTCCTCTGGAAACGAGTTGGACTGTAAATAATTATTTTCCCTTGATATAAATAGTCAGTGCTTTTGAGAAGAGAAAGAGGAAAAAATTAATTTTTTCTCATTTTTATTTTCAAGACATACAGGATGACAGAAAAAAGACGTGCACGTACATTATCTTCTCCCCATGTTATGGAGGGGGAACAGATTATTTCAGGCAGCTGAAATATATGGTTCCCCTTCCTTTAATTATGGCAAATAAAGAGTAAAAGTTACCAAATCCACAGGGTTTGTTGTTGGTGATGAGGGGAATAAACACAGTTAAAGACCCACAGGTACATTAATTTATTCCTATTTTATGGAGGGGGAACTGATTATTTCAGTCAGCTGAAATATCCTTTCTCTCATCTCCTCCTCCCATGTCTTTGGGAAATAAAAATGTCCTTAATCCAGTAATCTGTCATATTTTACATTAGAAGGGGATTAACCAGAAAGTCTAACCTTCGCAGGACGTCTTAATCTGTGTGCCCTGCTATCAACCAGTTTCCATCCTCTTATATCAGCAATGAAAAATTAAAAATACACTACGTGTTGGAAATCTGTGTTTGGTGACTGACGTTTATTTCTGTCAGGCTGAAGGGACAAAAGTTGGAGAAATACTGTTTCTCTTGGTGTTTAAAAAACAACACAAAACAGCGTAGGAAGACCTCGTTAATTTATTTATTTTACAAATTAGTAAAAGGAGCAACAGAATGTTACAATATTGACAGGATTATATGAGCTGTTTTTACCATGAAATGATCAGGAGCGCCGTGAAAATGGTCAGATCTGCCTCTCTGGCTGCAATGCGCGCTCCTGACACAGGGGGAACAGATTTTCACAGGGAAACAGAATTTCGCACAAGAATCATTTAGTGAGTGGACCTGAGGCTTCTTAGGCCTAAAGAGAAAATGTTACAGTGGCGTTGGACATATGCAGTGGGGATTATTTTACTCCAAAGATCTGAATGGGTGTGAACATACGACAGAGTATTAGGTTTAGGCTAGAGATTTGTATATTTTTTTTATTTCGAGAATAAAACCTTCATATTGTGAGAATAAAGTCATATAATTATGAGAATAAAGTCCTAATATTGCAAAAATAAAGTTATATTTTATCAAGCGGACTCAGGTTGCTGTTTGGTGATGCTGGTCGGTATGATGGCTTCATTCTCGATACTTTTCAACATTATTCTCATAATATTAAGACTTAATTCTCGTAATGTCGGGACTTTATTCGTTTAATTTTATGACTTTATTCCTGTAATGCTATGATTTTATTCTTGAAATAAAAATCTCTAGCCTGGCCCTTATACTCTGTTATTTGTATCTGGGCTCTAATCATAATGGCAATCGGAAAAACTCACCTCTCATTCATTAAGAAATTCATTTCCAAATTCAGATTCATGTTTATTGTAGGTGCAGAGTTCGGATTGTGGATCAAAGGTTCAACAGTCCCACTGCCATCAGACTGTTGAACCTTTGATCCACAATCCGAACTCTGCACCTATTGCACATTATCGGGCATCAAATGCTGCTGAACTTTTAACTTTTAGCCCTTTAAATTGTTCATCTCATTGTATTTTTCAATAACG